TCCAGAGCTCGAACATTTTCCTCCAGAAGTCTCCGCCATCGCGGGCTCGGAGTCCAAGGCTGTTGATCGATAATTTTCTCAATCTGGGGCCACATCTTGCTGTCGTCGATGGTGTACATGGCCTCTGCGAGGTCTCCAAGGGTCACAAGGTTAGACATGTGTTGCAGCCTTAGAGCAATTGATCGCCCCAACATTGAAACAATTTTTACTGCAAAATGACATTGACATGAAACTCGTCATGGATTAAATTCTAAAGTACTAGGAGGGATTTTGTATCGCTGCCAGTGTTTTGTTCAAAACCCCATTAGTGAAAATTAGTGTTGGCAAATATCCTGTATTAAGTGCTACGTAGTGTCCCATCTAGCAGTACCATGTATGGTTGGTTCAGACCTGTTCCAAAACTGAAAAACTATGGAAAATGATTCATTCATAAGCGATTTACACATATTTCCATCTTAAAAAATGGTGATTTTCCTACTCAGAAGGCTCGGGAATGCACCAATCTTTGGTTTACGTGACCTTACAGCCAATGACCCGGCCATGTCAATTTCAATCGGACCACCAAGGGGATTGTCTACAAATTTAAGGAAAAATCCACTGCCAGACACAATCCATATGTTTCTTATTATTTTTTCCACTATTTCAGGGTCAATCCCCAATTTTTTCAGACCCTGAACAAATGTAGTCTGCAGGGACCATCATCTCGGGTAAGACAACAAAACGATGTTTGCATCACCGACCCAGTGACCCTGGCCGGCTTGGCGCTGCCAGTTGTCAATTTTATAGGGTGAACACGTCCCGATTTACCTATCTGATCGAAATCCTCCAGGTTTGAAAGTGCAATCGCCAGATTTAACCTTTGATATTCCCACTGTACAACCCATAAACTATGCCCATCATGAATTATGATAGATCTGATGATCAGTTCGCGATGTACAAGTTGGTGGTTTTTTGAAATGGGGTGCCCCCCAAATCATCTTCAAAACTTGACCAACCAACCACAGGGTCGTTTCCAACACCTCAAACACAAAGGGGGTTGAATGAGCAGATTGATAGAGAAATATCGAGAAGTAACGTTTTGAATTTTGTGATTTTCATGGCTACTATTAATTAGATACTGTATAATTCACCCGATTTTGTGGATCACCCATCCCCAATTGCACCTTGGCTGGCCGGAAATGTCTGCCGTAGCCCCCTGTTGGGTCGCCGCGGTTCGGTGGCCGGCCTAGGGTGCACGTAACATGGGACGATTTGTCGGGAAAACATGCCTTAATATCATGCGCATATATATGTAGAAAATAGGTGTATATATCAACACCCAACATTTTTTTTACAACTATGTTTTGGAGAAGTTACGTGCTATGGGAAGATAATGGGAAAATAAACCAAACCATATTGTGAGGATAGAATGGG